CTGGATTCAACCTTTATAGTGTTTGACCCAGCACGTTCAAAATGTTAATCTACCATTTTGAAAGAGTGGTCACTCCTCGGCCCTTTTAAATGGTGATTTAACATTTTTTTAAGTGTGGCTGCTCATCTGACCGTAATCTAATGCCTAAAAACATGAGATTCATGGCCTCATGGGGCTCAGACCCCTGGACCCCCCTCAAAATATTGACACAAATAAGGTATCAAAATATGCTCATTTGACCGTAATTAAATCCCTAAAACCTCTGAGCTTTCGGGGCTCCACCCCCTGGACCCCACCAGGGGCCCTAAGACAGGACCCTTAGTGCTCATCTGACCATAATTAAATGCCTGGAACGCACGCCAATTATTGACCTGCCAGTGTCACATATACATGTAAAGTATCTAAATATGCTTATCTGACTGTTATTTAAAGTCTAAAACCCCTTATCTTACGGGGGCTCCGCCCCTGGACCCACGCCAATTTATGCTCCACTCTTTTCGCTCACTACACTCTACCTGATCGTGAATGCTCCACTTTGAAAAACGTTCCGCGGGGCCAGCATGTAACATGTAAGACTGGTGGTGATACCGATTTTTCTTCTCCCCCCCCCCCCCCAAAAAAAAAAAATTGTTTGCTTATTACATCACTGCCCCTGAAAGTTGAGCCCCCTGGAATGTTTGCACCCCCCCCCCCCCCCCCATCCCAAACTGCTTCCGGCGCGCCTGCTCCCAGCTAAAGAGCAAAAAGGATCATACTTATATCCATAATGTAACCTTTCATAAAAGTGCATTTAGTATCATTATATACCTGACATTAAGGAATTCCAATATAATATATAGGAGGGAGATTTCGGTATCGCATGTCAAGAAACACAAGATAATCACTGTCCAGTTGATTGAATGTCAATTATTAGGAACCACTCAGGGAAAAACCAAAACCATCCACGGGGCTACTACAATTCCATGCATGGTGGAGTAAGCAATCAAACACGAACAGACAGAAGAACGATGGAAAATGAAACAATCAAATTACATAAAAGCAAGAGTAAATATTTGCACTATATTACAAAATTCAGTCCGATATGATTATGAAGGCGAAGATAATTGATTGTGTGCTCTGCTGTACAACAAAGATCTGTGCATTTGTATGTCCGTCGTTATCTATCATTTTGTGTGCCCAAAACAGGACAGCATGGAACTTTACAAACGGATAGCTATCTTCGCGATAATATGTACAGGAGTTTGTTTGGCTGTTGATCCAGGTAAATTATTTCACTAATACTTATTTACACTCTGTTGATGCTCAGACATAATTCATAATGTTGTTTGTTAACCTAAATCATAACTCAACCTTGTCTTTCAATGAAACCGATGAACCTATATATGTTTTTACCTATTCAGTGTTTTTTCAACGGTAATGACTAATTCCCCAATGCATTCTAAAAAGAAAGAATTAAACCTGTGCCTTTAACTCTCCCACTCTTTGATTTATAGTAAGTACAATTACAGTTTGTTTCAATCTCGATATCAATATGGCTACAGTTTATTCATGTTAACCGATCGAAACATTCATTAACGACCAGCCGACTAGGCCGACAGTCCACGAGACCACCAGTGTGTATATTGTAGATCTCATGAAAGCTTGAAAGGATTGCGAGGCCCACATGCCACTCCCTCGAGCTGTCGATCTCATGGGCTTTCGGTCTCGTGAAGCAATATTACATTTTCATAAATGCCCGCGAGAGCAAAATTGTCGGTCTCGTTGGCTGTCAGTAATGTGTGCCGCAGGGTTTATAAACCGTGAACTAAACTATGAGAAGAGCCGCAAAACCGAATTTGTTGGTTTGAAATCGGCCTTACAAGTGCGTGTGCCTTTAATGCTTCTCCGATATTTGTTTAAGCATATTGCGTACATGTGTGTTTAACCATGGATCTCTGGTTGTTAATACCTATCATTGCTTTAATCTTTTTCCTGACTCCATTTTATATTTTTAGATTGGTCATGTGACTTTGAAGAGGACAAATGTGGAATCATTGAAGAGGAAGGGAATTGGATAATCTTCAGCGGTACGTGGTAGACATGAAACGTCTTTACCTCTTCCTGAAATACATCTACTGTTGACCAAATACGAAATAATTATACTGTATATCTGTTGAATGTTACCATTGCAATAAATGTTTACCATTGCAATAAAATTTGGCTTGGAGTGACGAGCGAAAGACAGCTGTCTCTATAAAACTCTCATAATACGAGAGGTCCTTGGTTCGGTCAGTGCTCAGTGCTTACATCCTTGGACAAAATGTATGCGAAACCCTAGGGTTTCGCATACATTTGTCCCTCTCTACCAAGGTATAAATACAATGCCGTGGCAATGATAATTTATAGGGACCTCGATAAGATCAGTATCAAATGGGACCAAATTGATATTATTGTGTTTAACTACATTGAACAAAATCGCGATGTTAACAAATAATAATAAATTATTCATTTTCCTGTCGAATGGATACAGGGGCCTATTTGTATTTAAACTCTTTTTCTACAAACTATATTCAGGGGGTCTCAGGGCAGACAGGTTTACAAGCAGTACAGGTGACAAGTTCATATTCTCCATCCCGCACAATTTTACATCACCGCGAGGAAATTTATCTTTTGAATACGTCTTTGCGGGTTCTGATTCATCCATGTCGGTCAAGGTCTGCAGGGAAGCAAGTGAACCTGCATTTACAGTTACTGGTGTGGCAATTCCGACGCAAAATACTGAAGTAGTTCCTTACTCATGTGCAAGCAAAATGGATGTTGAGGTTTGTAATACAAGGACTTATTTTCTAGTTTTCTTTGACATTCCTTCAAGCATGTTTCAAGCATACTGACACAAGATAGATCTCTTTTATTTTATTTTTAATTGTAAGGCCAAATACTATTTAAACATAATCATATCCACATGAATTATTATTTATATTGCACAATATATCATAACATTTTTTTTTTTTTTAATAGATTGTATGGGTCTAAACAAGCAGTAAAACAAGTTTTATAACTGTTTTAAAACGTTTTGATCATTGTTAGGCTTTCGAATAGCTTACCTGGTTTTAAATAATATTATACATGCATTAGTTTTGGATTTATCTCTTACATTTAGTTTGAAAATCTGATTTGAGAATATTATTAAAGATCACTTAGCACTACCTAACAAGAGTTTTCTTAAAAGAGAAGGCATATTGTTCTCTGTTTTTATATCCATTTTTATTGCAGATATCATTCATTGCAAGTAGGGGTAGTGTAGCTCCTCTAATCACAGTAGACAACATTCAAATATATGAAACATCATATATAGGTAAGTAGTTGAAAAGACATTACCATGGAAGAAGGTGCACGTAATGCCATACAATTCGATCTACAGAAGATCCATCTTGTTATGAATCTAAAGAACGACTGAATTAATAAAACCCCATTTAAATACATCGTAATAGAGATGTGATTCTAACACGGTAGCAAATGCTTTCGAGAAAGTGCAATGTCAGTATCATTTTGTATTGCCTCTTGAAACCCTGTCCGGATTACGTATTATGTCAATGTCGTGTTTGCACGACCATGTCTATATGACGCCCATCGCACACTTCACGATCCTCCTGCGATCGATTTTCTAGGAAATTACAATTATATACATCATTTTCCTGATCTAATTTGTGAATAATATTAATAATACTAACAACAGGAATGTTAGTGCATTTTTTTTTTCTACTAAGATTCACAGCCAATCCGGCTTCAAATACATATAATCGCTATATTGGTGACGTCACTATGACTGTGAGCCGATTTAATAACAATAATAATTAACCGTCCTTGTATAGCGCATAACACATAGTATTAAAACATGTCCCTAAGCGCTCTAGAGAAAAACAAAACAGAATACAAAGACAAGATTAGCCACCTTTCCTCCGATGAAGCATTAAGTCCCTCGGAAGTTACATTTTATTTTCATATGACTATTTAGATACTCGATCATTCTGATTTTACGTGTTTGAATGTTTGCACGAAATTTTACTGCAATTAATAAAATATGGGATCGTAGTCAGATCATATAATATGCGATGGGCTTTTAGTAAAATCGTCTTAGGTTCATTTCTTTAAATAGTCATTGCGATCTTATTCAAAGTACTTCCTTTTGAAAATACACAGATCCGCTTGTAACAAAATAATCGTCAACTGAATCAACCAGCACTAACTTCCTGTCCAAATCACACACACCTACTAGCTCGAAAGGTAATTCAACCACTTCCTTGGAATGTAAATGTCATTTTCGTTATTAGTATATACTTATCTGACTATTCTCCCTCGCTTTGCTTACACATGACTAGAAAGAAGATGGAGGATTCTTCACTCACTTAAAGTCAAATCAATTTCGTTATTCTCGGAGCTTACATTGGCCAGCGGCCTTTTTTGCAATACAATATGATAAGAATAATAATAAATAAGCTTTCATTTAACGTAAAGGGGTGGCAAACATATCTGATTATATATTTTGTCTTTATTTCTATTGTCTTCTACATTTGTAAAGCGCATTGGTATTACCTTCGGTAATTAAATGCGCTATATAAGAGCTAACTATTATTATTATTATTATTATTATTATTGTTTGTTAATCACGTTATATACACTATCGCAAGTAGACGTTTTTAAGTGGGTTATAATTGATACCTCCGGGTATTTCATATAATAAAGTAAGGCAAGGTAAATGTACTGAGCATCCATTCATTATAATAATGATGATGATTTTTATATTGCCGTTTATTTAAACCTTAAATTCCAAGGCGAGCAAGGAAAAATAGATGTGAAAGAAGAAGAAGGAGAGTCGGAATTTACGGTGCCATATTCTCGACATGCTCTACCTCCATCTCTGGACTCAATTATATTATGTATTTACTGTTCTCCTAATAATTATATGCTTGGATATTTTTGTAAATGGTAACGATGCTAGATACTTGTTTTTACACACAGCTCCATATGCATCTCAGTATGCAGCTATAGGCGGTGGAGTTGCAGCAACAGTAGTGGTAGTATGCATCATTATCATCATTCTCGTTTATAGATGCAAGTGAGTATGGTTACATTCTAAGGTTATAAATAGTCCTTTAAATGTTTGATTAATGTCAAGTATAGACTTCATAAGCGGATGTGAATTCAAATTTCAATCAATCATCAGTGTATTGTAGTAATTAAGATATTTCAAACAAACGTCAAAAAGCTTCATATAGGCAGTTATGAGTTTTTGTGCAAAAAGATCATCCTACACTGCAAAAATAAGGGTGTTAAATTTAACACCATGGGTGTTAAATTTAACACCATGTGTGTTACTTTTAGCACTTTACCGCTATCTATATCGGAAAACACCAGCTGGTGTTATTTAACACTAGGGTTTGGAATTAAACGATTGAATTAATTCCGCCTTTGGTGTTAAAATCTAACACCATCATTTCAACTTGGTGTTAAAGTTCGATTCTAGTTTTGGTGTTCAAAAATCCAACACCATTTCTTTCAACACCGGTGGTGTGTAGATTTTAATCCTGATTTTGTTTGTTAAAATCAATACCAATGATTTAACACTCCATTCAAAGAATCCTGCGATGTCTGTTGGATTTAACAATTTTCGAACTTTTCTGTCTGCAGAACAAATTTTCACACTTAACGGCCTGATAGCGCTGCTGAAATAGGATATTCAGACCTTGACTAAAAATTCCATAACCACGATATCCTGAAGAGATTCTTGACAGCTAGCTCGCGCATGCGCATGCACGATACGACGTCATATCATACGACAACTGTCATCCAATGATTTTGCTTGAATCCACTAACTTAAGCGCATGCGCAAGTTCAACACCATGTATAACACCAACTTCACCAAGACTATGTACATTTTCAAAAAGGTCACATCATAGTTCAACATGTGAAAAGCGAGGTACAACAGCTTTTGGGGAAGAAAAGAAAATACAGCCAGATAAACTCTCTGACAAAAAGAACAAACTGTCTATCATTATTTTGCAAACAGTATACTGGTGAAATAATTCAGTCAGTGAAAATAAGCCTACCCGACCATGGTGTCTCACAGAGATTGTTTCTTCTCCTTTACTCATTGCCTTTCTCCTAGGTGCAAGCCGAAACAAGACCCAAACTATGGTTCCGGTCTCGAGGTCTGGAGATGGCAGGTGGAGAAGCAGCACCTCCTGGGTACGAGACTACGATTGTGGCTTTCCCCGAAGCTTCTGGCAGTGACACCTTGCGCATGAACATGGAGGTAAAACGTCCAGAATCGAGCCGCTAAAAATAAGATTTGACCTGGAATCCAGGGGGGTGTTTCACAAAGACTAAGATCGACTTTAAGTTGGAATTAACTATGTCACTGGTTGCTCACATCATTGGCTCTCAATTATGGTCTAATATTTTTTCCTTCAATAATGAAAGATCAAAACAATGTAAATTATGTAGGTTTATGACCATGATTTGTACGTACGTCCCTTGAGAGACCAATGCCAGTAAATGGTGAGAGAAATAGTTAAGTCCAACTTAAAGTCGATCTTAGGCTTTCTGAAACAACCCCCAGGACTCATACTTCATCTTCGATTAGAAAATCCACGGGTTACCTGTTTATCAATGCATTATGCGTAATGTCTGCTTGTATGGTGTACTATGTCTTCAGAATTCTAAATAACTTGTCTTGTTTGGCATCAATAAAAACCTCCATAATATTATAATTATCGTCGCTCTGCAACTGTCAGAACTAAATTGATCATTCCCAAACACAGACTCTCATCAACTGAAAGAAGTTTTATAGTGGCTGCATATAATATGTGGAACGACATCGCACTTTTCATCAGTAACTCAAAAAAGAAATCGTCTTTGTTTTTAAAAGGTCATCCCCCCCCCCCCCCTCCTCCCCCTTTCCGTGATATAAATAAATTGTTTTAATCAGGTTCTTATTACTTGAATCATTTTATATCTTTAAGAATTACGACCAGCAAGGCGAGATCGAGAATGAATATTTAACGCCCCGAATGAAGAGAGGGACCATGCTGCAGGCAGAGTATGTCAACATGAAGACCAGAGACAACCAAGTCGTCGTGGTAACGGAGGATATCTACGAAAACATGGCGAACGATGCCTCAGGTAAACACGCCGTAACTTCGAAGGAAGCTGAATATTCGGTTGTAATCTAAAGCTCAAAGGAGGGAAGTCTGAGTTCATGATTTTATAGGCTCGAAGGTCATGCTGAACAACATCCAAGAAAGCTTCATTACAGTTTGTGATGCTCAGATCAGCCCTGGCCTGCAAATAAATGCAGGAACCTTGGTGTTGTCATCGATTCGAACTCTAAATCATAATATATCCCACACATGTATAGCCATTAGATTCCAACTCTGCTACCTTTCGCACACCCGAAGATTTTGTCTCACCTCCCTGCTGACCAGACGCGTAAGGCTACTGAAACATTGGACTTGTTCATTCCCTTATTTTTTTCCCGATTAGGCTTTTAAATTCGCTTCTAATACAATATTCCTGACTACCAGCTGCAACGCCACCAAAAACTCCATCAGAACTCAGAGGTCAGACATGTAGCGCTCATAAATTAGGCGCCACTCACATCTCATCCATCCTTCAGGCACGTACCGTACTGGCTTCCTGTCCGTCAACGCATCATTTTCAAAGTCATTCTTCTCGTCTAGCAAGTTCTTCATTGCACTGCACCCTCATACATACAAGACCTAGTGCACGACCCACCACGGCGACTCCGCTCTAGCTGCTCACACCCAAGTTATTTACATCCCAAGTTCACGGCACTCCTGGGCCGTGAAGGCGATCGCTTTCAAGTTCTGGCCCTGAACTGTGGAACACACTCCACCCTCACCTCCATCCTCACCCCCGAAATGGATTTACCTCTCCATGTTCCGTATATCATTTTACATGTATAAATTATAGTTAATGCCTAATTCTGAAACTTACATTGAGGTATGGAAGAAGAAATTACAGCAAGATTATCACTTAAATTATACTGGAGGCGCACACAAGTAGTTAATTTCAGTTAACTTAATTGTGTTGTATTAGTAACATTTTTATTTTTTTATTTTTTTGCTTTTAAGCTGTTGAGCATGTTGAATAATAGAAACGCCCGTATGAAGCGCCCTATAAATGTAATTATTATTATCATTCTTGTTATATAGCTATTAGTGTAACCTAACACTTGTGATGAAGATGATGATAGAGGTGCCATTCCCCTACCCTTTTCTTCCTTTTTTTCGTTGTTGCTATTATTATTATCATTAGTAATTGTGTTCTCATCATTATTATCAAGAGTAATAATAATAATATTAGTATTAGCATTAGTATTAATATATTTATTCTCTCTCTTCCATTATGTTCGAAAATATACAGTAAAATTAGATTACAGGCGGCGACATGTTTAAAGAGCAAACGCTTTTGTGTCGGAGTGCCATTGTTATACACTTGTCTTTAGATGTACTCCAGAATTTGTCATATTTAACATCAGATTAGATATATGTGTATGGTATACAAATAATGAATGGTTATGAGTTCAATAGTGCGAATATTTTCATGAGTTGAAAGATTAACATTCTATTCAACGAGGCGTCAGCCGAATTGAATAGAATTAACGTTAATCTTTCAACGAAAAGAAACATGAGTGCATTTTAGGCTGATGTCGAATATTACATTTTTAATCGGAATCACAGATATTTCGTTGTTTTATAGACTGGTATGTATGCAGCTGTGAAAAGTATGAATGTTCTTTGATGAAAGTTATAAGAGAATGTTTTGGTAAAGGGAATAATACTCTTGACATAATCAAACATCAGTCGGCTCTGTAACCCCTGGTTACATACACAAAATTAACGAGGCTCTCTTTCCAAAGAATATAATTCGAGATAGCGCCATCTCGTGTTATGAGAAAAAAAAATGATGGCTCAGAACTTATGGACTGGTTTGTAGGCCTATATAATAATAGAATGACCTTCGAGTGAGGAGGTCTAGCTTCCATACCTACAGGACCTACACAAAGAAAGTTCACTAACAACTGATTATTAGAACAATTTACATATGGATGGAAAGATTTTCTCTTGAAAAACACGAATAATCTGCTGAGAAATCATATAAATATCATGGAAAGGAGTAAAATGCAATTTTTCAAGACTCTTCTTAGACCCCCAAGCGCCCCCGAACGTAAACCAAACAGACGAGCGTAGAGAGCTCTGAATTGTGACGTCACACACTGGACAAACAGCTCAGTACCGGCCGCACACCGGAGTCGCGCGTGTATTAGTCTGCAGCTAGCCAGCCGTGTCCCGTGTGTGACGTCACAAATATTGACGCTCTACAAAGGACCGCTGAAGGCAGAAAATCTGGATCTCAAAACTAACATTTTTGAGAGTTGATTACTGCGGGCCCCAAACATATTTTGAAGAGAAGAGTTGTTGTATTTGATCATTAAGGCTTCCCCTTCGCAATGATATGAGTTTTGCATCAATTCAAAACACTTTTGCCTCTTAGTGTGATTACTTTAATTAGAGCAAAGACAGAGTATCGATAGCTATCGGAGCAATTTATACAAAAATCCCAGTACCCATGTTATCATCTTTAAAATTATGTTTAGAGACAGAGACAGAAAGTGAGAGAGAAGGAAAGAAAGAGAGCAAGAGGAAAAGAAGGGAGAGAGAGAGAGAGAGAGAGAGATGTTACCTGTCAAAGAAAGAATTGTTTATAAAGTTCTGATGTTGTGTCACAAGGTAATGATTCTTAAATCCCCGACTCATCTTCTTCATATTATGTTCTTACATACGGCGCGTACGCAGCGGGGGGTTATTTTTGAGGACCCCCTCCCCCTTAAATTAATATATATATATATATATATATATTTAAACTTATATCTGGTCTATTCCTCCGTACAGTGCTCAATGCTTATGGGCAGAGCAAAATATTTATTGGATAAGGCAGACTAATGGAACATGGTTGCAACTCCGAGTTTCACGCCTTGCGAGCGATCATCAGGCAACTGTTATCATGATTACTCTACAATCTACAATACGTTCAAAATAAGGCTTAACTAATACAATACAATACAAAACAATAAGATTTACTCATGGGTGAAGGGGCTATTGTAATTGCTCAGGTACTGCGATGGAATTTTAAACATGGGAGGGGGTATCGCAAAATAGTCTCCACCAATGTGCTAGTATATATATATATTTAATTAAGTATAGTCTCTTTTGAAGTTGCAGAGGTAGAATTTGTTTTCATGGCGGCATTTGGAGATGAGTTCTGGTCTTTTGTTCAGGAGTGTCTGTTTCTCGGCGTTGATGATGGCAAGCTTCTCAGTTAGGCACAGGTTGCATTTTTTCGTTTCGATGGAGTACGCCTGGGCCTTGCTGGAGATCGACCACTCGATGGTGAATGGGGTGCTTTGGTGTTTGAGTTGAAATGTGTTTGGAGAGTTCTGTGCTGTTTTTGTGCTTCTCATGTCGGAAGGACTGTAGATGGTTGCCGTACCTCAGCTTGAACGGGGGCTCGGTGAGTCCAATATATTGCTAAGGGCTTTCTGGGCCGGAGACTTTGGCACTGTAGATGATAGTGCCGGCCTGGCAGTTTCCTTGTAGGGGGCACACATTCTTTTTCCGGCAGTTGCAGGTTTTCGGCTTGGTGTGGTCGTCCGTGGATGAAAGTGCTTGTTGTGCGCCTTGATGATGCTGGCGAATCCGGCATGCAGCTGTAGCTGACTTTGAGCGTGTTTCTGTTGAATATCTTGTTGAATTTTGATTTCTTTGGGAAGTGCTTATCAACAAGCCTCAGGAACGATCTGCCGATGTTGGTTGCGACGTTTTTGCTGAATGGAGGGTTGAACCAGATGATGTTTCATTTCCGGTTTTGCTTTCTCCTTGTCGGGCGCTCCTTCGTGAAGGTGAGGGTTTCAGCAAATACATATTTATATATATATATTGTGCACAAGGGTGCCCAAAAAAGTGACCCCCCCCCCCTACTGAAAATATCGGTCGGCAAAATTTTGAAATTTCTGGGACCACCCCCCCCCCCAAAAGTGTTGTCCCCCCCCCCCCCTTCCCCCCCCCCCCCCCCCCCGCTTATTCAGCTGCTGGCCGAGGCGTTGCGAAATTTGTTGGAGCAAAAAAAAAATGCTGTTCTTAACCCCCCCCCCCCCCGCTCATTCAGCGGCTTGCTGAGTCGTTGCGAAAAATTATCGGCTCGATTTTAAAATGTTAACCCCCCCCCCCTCCCCCCCCCCCCCTCCTACCCCCCTTGCAAAAATCCTACGTACGCCACTGTGTGTAACCAACTTCCTTACCAGCTTAGAGTTGGGAGCACTGACAGCTTTGGAAGAGACCTAAAAACCTATTTGTTTCCTAGGGTCCTTTGTCCTTTGTCCTTTTTCCTTTGTCCGTTGCTGGTTGGGAGGTTGATTCTACATAATGGGTGTATGTTTGTTGAATTTGTTATATGTAATGTCAAATAGTTTTACTTAGGTGTATTTATAGGTGCATTCAGTTGGACATTCCCATAAATATATTTTTTTCATTTGCTTATCTACTTTGTTATTTATTGTTGTATAAATGTTGTTTATATATTCAAATTTGTCATGACTGTAGCACGCTTCATAAATATTCTCTATTATTATTACTATTAACAATCAACTTCAAAAAGTGTAACTACATGATATTTTACATCTCTCCAAAACCTCCTGACTTTAGCTCTGTACAAATCAAATTAAATAATAATATTCTTCCAAGAGTGGATTCCACTAAATTTTTTGGTATTTTCATAGACAGTAAATTAACATGAAAAAATCATATAAATGCGCTTGAAAACAAAATAGCTCAAAATACAGGTGTTATTTACCACCTAAGTATGTTTTTACCGAAAACGATATTACGTACTTTATATTGTTCTTTGATTCTCCCTTCCCTATCCTATTGTAATATTATATGGGCAAATACATATCGAACAAGTCTAAAAAAAAGCTCTGTGCACAGCAAAATAAAGTTTTACGTTTCATATCAGTTTCTCACCCACGATTCAGTAGCGATCCTTTATTTAAATCTCTTAAGTTACTTCGTTTTGAAGATATAAATAAACTTTAACAATGTACATTATTATATAAATGTCTGTAAACTCACAACTACCTTCTCATTTCTGCGGCCAATTCCAACGTGTTTCAGATATACATAAGTATTGTTCCAGATCATCTGAAGAAATCTATATTCCTAAACACCATGAACGTATTTTTCAAAATAATATCCGTTTTACCGGTCCTAAGCTTTGGAACGGTTTACCTGAACCTATGAGGAAATTTGTATCTCTGTTAAGCTTCTCTTGGAAGCTTTAAAAATATATCATTTTAAATTACAGTGCATAAGTATTAGCCCTATACCCAATTAGGTTGGCGAGTGTGTATTTATATTGTATAAGGGATGTGTATGGATGTATAAGTATATATATATATATATATATATATAATCTATCTCTATGTTTTCCGTACAGATCAGTACAGTGCAATGACCAAACGTGGGTACCGATTTGACACCGGTCACATCCACTGACTTTTGTACGGAAAAAAAATTACCCAATTTTTATGCAGTATCGCCGATACCATAGATATTGCAATTTTTAGATATCACTACAACTATATTATGATCAACCGAATTAATCATGCACAGACATATTTTATAAATGTTTTTCTTCCCCTGCTTTTCAAGCAATCGGCACTCGTACAAGCAATTGCGAAAATGTACTCTTACACTTTTTGTATTGTGTTTTTCCTTCTTTGTTTTGCTTTTTTGTTTTTGTTCAGAATTCTCATCTTAGACGGTTGTACGCCAGCTCAGTTTTTTTCTATAATGTCTCGTAGTATGGGGAAAAAAGAAAGTTTTTGCGGGCAATCTTGACAACATCAGATTATTAAAAAAAGCCCGTACAAGCTTTTTTTTAAGGGGTGGGGGGGGGGGGGGTTCTTAGAGTTGCCAACTTTGAGCCAGATAAGAGGTGAGAGTTAGACATTGCCAAGGAGCGAAGCTACTAAGCCTGAGAAGGGTAATGAGCACTTATTAGCGGCGAATCAGTCGGTAAATATGCGGGGGGGGGGAGGCGGGGTATGGAGCACCATTTTTGTTTAAATCAACACCCCCTCC